GAGTGTGAGTGTGGCGTGTACGGGCATGGGTGTGGGATGGGTGTGGGGTGGGTGTGGGGTGTGTGTGGGGTGTGTGTGGGTGTGGGGTGGGTGTGAGGTGTGTGTGGGTGTGGCATGTGTGGGCATGGGTGTGGGTGTGTGTAGAAAGAAACAAGATCCACCACCCCAACCCGCACGCCCACACCCACACGCCACCCACACCCACATCCACACCCACACCCCATCCTCTAGAATGATTCGTGCTCTTGTATCTTTCGTCTCGAGTTATAATTATTTTACTGCATTTTTAGCCAATGACAAGCTATGTCGTAAAAAATCGCAGGTTGGAATTTCGGCCTGCAATTTTGCCCACAAAGAGGTTTCATAGTAACTACAATGTGTCGTAGATTTCAACCAAAACGAATCTTTCCTTCCCGGGATAACAGGTCCCAAAAATCCTATATACTCTGAAAAAAATGTGGATTTTTTAAAAAATATGTTATCTTGCGAGGAAAACATTTGTTTTGGTTGAAATCTTCGGCATATTGTAGTCACTATGAGATCTCTTCGTGGGCACAATTGCAGGCCAAAATTCCAACCTTCGATTTTTTACATCATAGCTTGTCATAGGTCAAAAATGCAGTAAAATAACTATAACTCGAGACGAAAGAACTAAGAGCACGAATCATTCTAGGCTTTGTCTAGTCTCGATAGGGCCTATGTAATGAGGAAAGTCCAAGGGGGAAGTCTCGTCTCAAAAGTTTTTATAATTTTAAAACGTATCCTCGTCAGTAAACATATTTAATATCTTCATGCTTAACCAGTTTTTAAAACTTTTTTCTTTTTTCTTTCACTTCAATATTTTCCGCATTTTTGTACGTAAAATCGGACGCAGAGCTCTGATGACTGTTTATAATTTAAATAAATAACACGAAAGGCGTCAGCGAATTTAACTCTGCATTTATCCTCATCTACAGGCACATCACTTCAATTTTGATTTATTTTTCGGCAGAAGTCGATTCTGCAAAGCAAAAGTTGAGATCAGCAGATTGATTTGTATTTTTGATGTACAAGTTAGTCTGTTTTTTTTTCAATATTTTTACAAAACAAACGTAAAATTTCGTAAAGTTAACAGACTGTCGAAAAGTAACGATGGAATACTCGAAATTAAACTTTAATTTGATTGGAGATTGATCTTTTTCTCCAAATTAAATTATTAGGATAAAACAAACAATGACCTCCCAATCATGATACACAACACAACGAGATCCTAAAAATCCCGCGAAATTTATGAGTTCTATCACTGTCTTCACCATCACTTTCGCTACTTCTTTCGTCATCACTGTCTCCACCACTGCCCCCACCGCCTCCTCTACCATGTGATCCATTGAATATACTGCGGATGTAGAAAGCTAAGCCTAAAACAACTAGCACAACTGTGACTGGATTTGTAGCTGTTAGGAGTTCGCGTATATGAGAAATAATTACAAAAGCATGTTTAACTGATTCTGGTATACCAGGTATCAGATCTAAGATTATTGACCTTGCAGCTGCTGCAATCAATTCGATTTGAACCGCTTTGGTTGCTAATGTTGTTGCTTTTGACAGGGCTAAAATAGATTCCGTAATTTTTTGAACGTTTTTGTAGACAGCTCTGGCTTTTTGAGCTACGTCAACTATTTTCTGATCTACTCCAACTACACGCAAGAGATCAGTGATTACATCGAAAAATTGATCACCCGACAGACGCTTCCCAGACGTTAACGATTTCACCAATGGTTTAGCTGCAGTAAGTATCTGTTGTCCTTTACCATTGATGATGGAGCCAGCAACATCAGTCATGTCTTCGAAGCTAATCGGTTGATTATTGAGCTTTTTGTGTAGTAATGGTATAGTTGATTGAACGACGGAGCGAACCTCCTCTGGAAGAAAAGGATTAATTGCATTCATCGAATAGTCAATTATTTTTTGTGGATTTTTTGAGTGAATCGCGTCAATTACATCTACGAGTACGTGAACTGGCTCTGCGTGTTCTGGTGGTAAAAATGAGGCTCCTAAATTTAATGCATGTTTCACTAAATCTACAGTTGCCATATCTTTGTGTCCAATAATTGTTTGTACCTCTTGAACTATACGATAGACTTTTTGTATTTCAGGTGGCAAGTATGACTTTACATTGCCGTCATTTAAGAAAGTTTTCAATGCTTGCGAAGGATCATTTGTTTGTGAAAGAGCTTGCGCAAGTGAATTTGCTATTGTTATGGCTATATCGATTTTCTTCGCATGTTCCGGAAAGTATCCATTTGCTAACGAATGAATAGCTCCCTGTAGATCATTATCTTGTATTTGAGTAATGGTATTTTGTACAACGATCAGTGACTTCGCCGTTTTCTCGTCGACTATACTTATGACCGCATCAAAAGCGCAACCGAGTAGATTTTCTTTTGTTATTGGTTGCTTTGTTAGTTCGGTTAATGATGTTAAAAACTTTTGAGCTTGTTCCGGTACATGTGGAATAAGTGTCAAAGCGTCTTTAATTGCATCAATTTTTTGATGATTTGTCAGTTTGCCTACTCGTTCGGTCTCATTTGTTAAATTCGAAATAAGCCGTTCTAGACCATGCAGTGTGTCTTTCTCAGTTGCACTTAAATCGGATGATATCGAAGCAAGAACACATGGAAACATCGATAAATCGTTTATTGATGGCTGAAATCCATCGTTCGAGATTCTTTCACTTAATTTCATAAATTCGATGACATTTTTTGATTCATTCGTATCGTCTAATTTTGCTTGAATGTAATTGAATACGGTAGAAGCAGATAAAGTATTATCAGAAGCCGCTATCGCTTGTGTGACCAACTGCAAATCAGCCAGTGGTAGATTCGTTTCGACCATTTTCTGCAAAATGACTTTTTCGTTGATCGATTCGCCATCAGATGATAACTGTAATAGTCGATCAAAAAATTTTAGTGGATCACGGTTCGTTTCAGTTGTCATTTCTGAGATTAGTGTACTTAATCCTTGCTCTGGATTTTTAGTATATTCGATTGTTTGAACTGTATTAGCTACTTTTTCCATCAAATTTTTCAACTGTTGTTTATCTTCATTCCATAGTTTTTGGGCCTTGTCCTGGTTTATCACTATATCAGTGGCATAATCCAATAAACGTTTTTTTGCCGAGTGTTCTGTACTTGGATCTTTATGGTTATTCTTTTCATATTTAATCAAACGTGACAGTATTTGTTCACGTTCATTTATTGCATGCTGTTCGAGAAGAATCGATAATTTTTCAGCACAGTCAACTGCTGATGAGAGATTTTCGGCTTGTGTCTCCCCTTCTATACTATTGATTGCTCTTGACAAATGTTCATTCAAAACTTCCTCTATTTGTTCGTACATTCTTCTCCATTTGACTCTTGTCACTTTTGCAAATGTATTCTTGATACTTTTGTAGATATTATCTTTGTATGTTGTCACTTGATGCTCATTAGATTCAATAGCCGTCAATATAAGATTATCCGCTAAGTTCTCAGGAGAATCTGAACGTTTTGGATCTGAATGTACTAACCCATCGATCAGAATGATAATAGGAGCAAGAGCCGTAGCCGCTCGTTGACGAGACAGATTAGCATTATCTTCGAGTAAGTTCATTAGTCGTGTTTCAGTTCCAGATTCTGTTAAATGTTCCCATGATGACACAACGTCAATGTGTTTTATGTTACCTATCGATGTTTCTTTAGATTCAACTAGTCCCATAATGACTAATTTATATTTTTTGGTTCTTCCGTGTAAGGATATGCATGTGAGTGTGAGTGTGTAGACCCTCTTCTCATCTATATCCATACCCAACTACTTCTTCCCCACCCTCAGGACTGACTATTCCTTTTAACCCTTTCCGACCCAGCGTCCCACATAAGAGATACTTTTTCCAAGGGCGTGGGTGTGGGTGTGGGTGTGTGACTGTCGGGTATGGCTATGGGTGGGTGGATATGGCTGAAGATGTCTTCTCCAACACCCACACCCTCAAGAGATATAGGTATTAAATCATCTCTTCGCTTATAATAAGCTTACGACCAATTTGTTATTCGACTAATTGTCGTAACGACCAATTGTCGTGGCGACCAATTGACGACGACTAATTGTCGTTCGACCAATTTTCGCTCGAACAATTGTCGCTTCCCCGTTTTCATTTTATAACCTTATACAGACCACGACAATTGAAAGTATAGCCTTAGATTTTTTTTGTTTTGTTATTACTGTACGTTTTTATCTATTAACCTACTATATATAGGAAGAAAGCCCAGAACTTGCTGCATCTTTTGGTATATTTACTTTGAACATCAAATGCAGTTTAAAGTATAGATAGTGTATTGGAAGAAAAGGTACGTTTTTTTCTTTTGCACGTGTCGATAATGTTGTCATATTTTTTTACTTCGCATATATCTCGGATTATGTAATGAATGATAAAACCTTGAATTTCTTTTTAAAGATGCGCCGTGAAAAGCTCTACAAAAGCTGTATGGTCGAAGTCCCTTTTGCCTGTTCCTATAGTTTCCTTTCCCCAAAATGAAAAATTTACATGACTATGGCACCTCCAATTATACTGTAGATGTTGGGAAATTTTTTTACTCTGCATATATTTCGACTTGAAAAAATGACGGAATATTGATTCTTGTTTTACAAGATGGGCTGTTGAAAGCTCTAAAAAATTTGTATAGAACAAATCCTATAACAAATCAGAAAAGTCTTCAAGATATTTTGTATATGTTAGGAAGGAAAACTAGACCTGTAAGTTTTTCATTTTGAGCAAAAGAAAAGCCATTAGAACAGGTAAAAAGGAATTCAATCATATAAATTTTGTAGAGCTTTCCACGGCGCATCTTTAAAGAGAAATTCAAGGTTTTATCATGTATCTATGACGAGATACACGCGAAATAAAAAAATATGACAACATTATGGACACCCAGTTTTGCAAAAGAAGAAAACTATTCCTTTTTCTCCAATGTCCTATTTATATTTTGAACTGCATTTGGTGTTCAAAGTAAATATACCAAAAGATGCAACAAGTTCTGGGCTTTCTCTCTATATATAGTAAGTTAATGGATAAAAATGTGTAGTAATAACAAACAAAAAACCTAAGGCTATATTTTCAATTGTCGTGGACTGTATTTGATGATGAAACTCTTCAGTCTTCTTCATTTCTTTCCTATCGAGTATAGAGTACTTCAGGGTATAACTTTGCGTACCCGTACCCGACCCACATGATTTGGACTTGCATTCTATCTATACCCGTCATATTCATATTCGTACTCGACTTGTATCCATAGTTCACAATGTGAATACATTGTTCTCTTTATTTTGATTTAGAAAAGGTTAAATAATAACATACAGTAATCATAAAGTATTAATACAACGAATTGAAAATGCATGCGACCTGTTAAACATTAACAATTCTCTTTGACTTTCCCCTATATCCAATCTTCAAGAGCAATCTGGGACATTAGTTCTCGTAATTGTACCATTTTGTACTCTCGGTGAGTTAAAGAAATGGCATTTTGTCATTTTAACAATTTTTATTGTGCGAAAAAACTAGAAATTGACCTTAAAACAGGGCATCAAAACGTGATCAAATGTGTGTGATACTGTTTGAACAGTAAAAATGTCTTTTTCATACCCCTATCCTATCCGTACCTGTCTACATCGTACCCGTACTCAGGTTCGGATGCGGGTTTAGTACTCTAATTGAGTGTCGATACTTAGTCTGCTGTGCCCAGAATTAGTCAGACTTCTTAGAAACCGAATGCGATCTATAGTTCATACTCATCATGCATGAAAGAAAGACGTCATAGCATGTTGAAACACTTACTATTTTCGGCATTCCGAGTTTTGTGCCTGGTTCCATTGGGTTGTGCCATAACCGTAGATGGGATTTCTCTGGTGTTTACTAAACATAGTGAAATTCTTGCTAGTTTTGATGAGATCAATGCTACGTACTGGAGTGCAGTTGACTCCATTCACGATGGTGATGTTCAAAGTAACTCTCTGAGAGATGGCAATCCTCTGTGAATCCCCAATTCCACGAGTCCGAATACGGTTTTTTACTACGGCATCCATCCTGATTGAAGCTCGAATAGGTTTGGCCACTGCGATATTCATCATAACTGAAATCTGAACGCGCTCGTTCACTGCGATGTTCATCAGGATTGAAGTTGGAATAGGCTTGATTATTGCGATGTTCATCGTGGCTAAAGCCCGAATGTTTCTGTTCACTGCGACGTCCATCGGTGGATGCTGAAAAAGAATCGTTTGAGTTGGCAAAATTAGCATTACTTCAATATTTTTATGTTTGAGGGAGGGTCCTCTAATCATGCCACACCTAAGATTTGAAACTTTTGAATTTATTCATTAATGCTAATTGATGAAATTCAAACCAATATGGCACACGATAGACTACTACTATGTGTCCATGAATATGACATTAGATTGAGAATGATAACCTTCTCTAGTTGGAGAAGTCTTTGTTGGTCCCAAAATTTGAGAGGGGGGTTCTATAATTTTGCCATATCCTGTATATATATCGATGTTCACAAATGATCGAAAAATGAAAATGAGATACCAACATGGAATCTGTTGTGACAGAGATGGCTACTCTTTGTAGCTTCTTAAGGGCTTACTTGAGAATCCTGAGTTGCCGGATTACGCTATTGACCCTTTGAGACTTCCTCATCGATTTGTTTTACACAGAAATTCCGAAAGATCTGTATTGATTGTAAGCAAGAAACATTTTGTTTCCAAAAATTCGAATTTTTTCTTGTTTTCAGAATTTTCGATCTTGTAGGTATAGTTTTTAAAAGAAGACCAATGAAAAAAATATTCTTCTTACCAATCAATAGTTCAAGAATTTTACTACAAAATATGTTCTTATCGTTTTCAAATCCCATGATTTGGTTATTTTCTGCCATCGTTCTACAACTGGTGCCTCCAGTGACCAACTGGAGGAGAGTGAAAAGTTGTATGGAAATCTAAGAAATGTTTCAAAAGTGCTGGCCAACGTGCTAGCGAAAAAGGAAAATGTGAAATTATGAATAACACCGCTGATCACTACTAGAAATTTGCTGGTACAAGATGGGGAACGCCATGTAATATCAGACACATAATAAAAAAATATGAGGCGAATTTGAAATTAGAGTATAGGTCGCGCTTTGTAAATAAATATGTAATGGGCCTGGATAATCATATTAAGTGTGAGGTGGTATGAAGTGAAGATCCCATAACCTACGTCTTTGATGTCCCAGTCAGGGATGTACCACTTCCAATTCCTGAAATTGATGGTATTGGTTGAAATTACAATTGGAATTGGAATCGGTTGGAACAGGAATCTGAGAAAGTCGGACACGACTTCAACTCAAATTAAGCAGCCATGGTCAGTTTTTCAGAAGATTCAAATGCAATTCACGCAGCGTGGTTTAACTATTTGACGAAAGCTTTTGAGGACAGGAAATCCAAATCTGAAGACCTAGTTCAGGATAAAATTACATCCAATTCTAACTTTCTCAAATCTGAATCAAAAATGCTATAATGTCCCTTTTTTTGTTTCTAAAAGCGATAAAACAGAAATCGAACTAATTGTTAAAAGGTTTAACGAAAAGTTTTCGCGGTGAAGGAATCCGAATCTGAAATTAGATTTGAGAAATTCGGAAGTGTGTCTAGGTTAGTCTTAAATCCGAACTCCAGATACAGATTTCTTGTCCTCCAAAAGTTTTCATCAAGCCCTTAAACCATACCACTCGAATCTCATTTGAATCTGCTGAAGAATTGACCAAGATTGACTAATTTGAGTTAAAGTCAGTTCTGAATCGATTCCATTTTTTTTCAATTATAATGCTAACTTTTTCTGATCAATTCTAGGAAGTCGAGTTAGACCATTGAATTGGCAATGGTGCATACCTAATCAGAGACCGACGAAGTCTTCTCAACCGCTCCATAAGGAGAAGTTGTGAATGAGAGACTATTTCTGAACTTTTATTTTATGATCTGATATTTGACGATGGAACTTGTGAGTCTTCATTTCTCAATTCAGAATCGATGTTTAGTTTACTTTGTCCAGGATCAGTCCGATTTCATTCGAACCAAGTGCAATTTATAGTTCTTGCTCATCATAAATGAAAGATAGACTTCATAGGATGTTGAGACACTTGCCATTTTCAGCATTCTGACTTATGCAACTGGTTCCCGAAGGTTTGCTCGTAACCGAAGATGTGATTTCTCGAGTGTTTTCTAAACATACTATAATCCTTTCGAGTTTTGATGACATCAACGCTACTGTCATGGCCATTGGCCATGATACATTCTTTTCCCTCTCATGTTTGTTTGTTTTTATTCACACTTCTCTCAAGTGTCTTTTTCCTCCTCTCACATTTCTTTTCCCTCTTCTCACATTTTTCGTTGTTCGCCTCCGATTTTGAGTAGGAGAGGATGTGTTGGAACGCGATGTATGCATGAGAGAAGACGTTCGAAGCGGCAAATATATATTGTTTCGTTTCTGTGTGTTTTTTTGGCGGTGTGTTTGCTTTCTTTTTTGTTTGGATTCGTGTTTGGTTATGGAATAAAGTTATCGTTCTTCACAGCTACTTACTAGAATGCAGTTGACTTCCATCGTAACTTCGTGAATGGGCATAATCTTCTGTAAATCCCCAGTCCCGGAAGCCCGAATATGTATATGTGTGTTCACTGCAGTCTTCATCAGAACTGAAATA